TGAATAGCTTAAAATCTTCAAAGAGATAAAATGTTACTTTTTGTGTTTCAACTAAAATAGCTCAATAGAAAAATAAGTAGCAAATAGAAAATCATATATATGCTCCTTATAATACCAAAAATACATATGCTTTTGGGCAAAAAATACGTTTAAGACCCTTCAGGTGAGATTTTGAAAATACAAACCCTCACATAAGCCACTCTTTATATTTTAATTTGTTAGAATACATGTATAGCTGCAAATTATGTAGATGAAGTATATGGTCATATTGTAACGCCCATACTTTCTTATATATTATTGGTGTGCTAATTAAAATTTATATATTATCATGTTTTAACTTATGGTTTGAATGCTATATATGTGAAGTATATGGATATCATGTGATAATGAACTTGGTGATAATTGTATTTGAAGTGTATACTTGAAATATGTTTTATCATGATAGGCGACGGTACCCGATGAGCAACGAAACTATACCGTAATAATCATTTTATTTCGAATGTAATGGTATATCAAGTTAGTTGTCATGTTAGATAGTATTCGGGTGTTTAACAAGTAGTTTATAATGTCGTCGGGGGTCAAGGGGGTGATCGGCAACAGTCGTGGTCGGTTTAGGACGAAAAAGAGCATTTTCGGCACCGTGGAAGCCCTGGACCGGCGCCGGTCCAAAACAGAAAGTTAGGCGGTGGAAAGGCAGGATAACTGGCGTCAGTTGAGCAAAATCTATCGGTCAACATCGTATTTAAACGGGAAAAATCCCCCTTTTCCCCAAAATGAAGCCCTGCTCGACTCCATCTCTCTGAAGTGATTCCAAACCCTTCCTAGACTAACTCAAGCTCAAATTAAATCTATTATTCATCAAGGATCATCACTTGGTAAGGTTTTACACTTAACAAGAAGTATTTGTACTATATTTGTATATATGGTTCTTGGTTGTGGATTTTGCTAGGGTTGATTGATTTTAGGTTGATTCCAGGAAATCTAATGGATTTTCTTAATAATAAGGTTGTTATGGAGTTGTTGTTCACCTTTGATTAAAAACCCTTGTGAAATTTGAGTATCCGATTACATCGAAATTATACCCGATTGGAGATAAGAATTTGGGAGTTTTGCTTACTCTTTGAGGTTGATTTTAAGTAGATATCTAGAGTTCTTGATATTATACTAATTAGTTAGCTGTTATAATCTCTTGGTTTGTGAGTTCCAATCGGTGCTAGGTTATCTAGCTACCCCGAAGCCATGCCCGAGTTGTTGTAGGAATTTGGGAGTTTTCTCACTTGTAGGGGCTGATTTATGAACTCTCCCTCATCTTTAAGTTTGACTAAATGTGACACATGTGTGTGTGTGTGTGTGTGTGTGTGTAGGGGATCGTTCGGGTGAGAATGATGTCCTAGGAGAGAAAAAAGAACAAAATATGACCATCTAATATACTTAATCAACGATTGAGATTAGATATAATGGGTGATGGCAATGTCGTAATTAAGAGGAGTTGTGAAAGGCAGTTTTAATCATAATAGTAACGTAATTAATAATAAAGGGCAAAGGTGTCAATGGATTTATAATACATAATATGTGCAATTGGACCACTAATTATATTTCCTTAAAAATCTCATTTGTTTAACCATTTTGCAACCGCTCAACTCAACTTTCCCCAAGAGTTAGCACTATTAATTATCAAGCACTTAATTTGTTAGTTATCATCTGGCTTTATGGCTTGCACACGTAATTCCATAGTTGAAAGTTTCTCTTAATTAGGAAAATTAATTGAAAGACTCATATTTTGTTTCCAAATAACGTACTTCCATTCCATTTGTATAATATAATTTACACCTCCTAAATCTTTTTTTTTTCATTTTTATTAAAAACACCTTGCACCATTAATCCATCAAACGATATATGGATTTGCACTTCAACATTGAATAGACGTATCTTTGTTTAAAATTGTGTGCAACATCAATTTAATTAAGGTAAATTCCACTAGTAGTAATTTAAATAATCAACATTATATTGTTTATGAATGGAATGAATCTGAAAAGAAGTAACACTTTTATTACATTAATTTTCACTTTTGTAAAGTACATGTTTATGTCATTAGCTTGCACTTTCTATAACATTATTCTACACTTTGTGCATGTTCCCGTGCACTTTCGTGTAACTGAAAACTATTATGTACATTTTAAATATATAAAGACGTGCATTATCGATTCATACATTTTAAAATCACAATGATTTTGAATTAATGAATATAAATGTAAAAGAGTGTGAACTAACACTTTTATTACATTAATCTGCACTTTTGTAAAGTGCATGTTTATGTCATTAGCTCGCACTTTCTATTTTGAATATATAAAGAAGTGCATTATTATATCATACTTTCTAAGATTCTACATTGGCACTATTTTACAAAATAAAATGCACATTTATCACGTGCATTATAGATATATACAAAAGTGCACTATTATATCGCACTTTCTATAAAATGCACATTCATCACGTACATAGACACTGTTTACAAAATAAAATGCACTTTTCTTCCAAATACATCATAATTGCTCTATATCATGGTCTCTTTTTATTGCGCTCCATATATGCCGCTTTAAAGCTTTGTTATTGGGGACACCGTATATCATTACTGTCACTTTGATGATTCATTTTGCGAGGTGCCTTTCATGATGAATCCATTGCAGTGCACTTAAAATCATAAAAAATGCATCATATATAATTGTGTTACTGCATATAAAAAAATTGTAGAGAATGATAATAAAATGATGATGCATTAATTAGTTTGGATCAAATTAAAACATGAACAAAACATGATAAGTGCATCAAAGTACCACATATTCAGGAAGAACAAGGGTCAAAAGTGCATTTTTTAGAACAATGAATCAATAATCATAAAGTGCATGATATGGGAGTCTGAGTGCATTTTCTAAAAATTAGGTGTAGTATATTAATAACATTATTGTGCATCTCTTAATCCATGTTAGTGTAATTGTATGTGATTTTTTTGAAAAAATAATTTAATGTGGTTTCAATTACACTAAGATATCATGTGAAAATGTGAAATAAAATTTTAATATACAAAAAAAGTAGCATAATACATATTCAAATACTTGAAAAAAAATTGAAATATATTTTTTACATGGTAACAGTTGTAGGATAAAGATACATAAAATATTCAGAAAATAAGCATATATTAAAGGTTTTTTTGAAATATATTCAATAAAATTCCGCAATAACTATTGAAAATGAAAAACATTAAATAGAAAATTCCGAATTACATAAAAGGTTTTTTAGAAATTCAATCGAGAAATACAAGCAAGTTAGTCTTACTATGAATCCATGGAGAGGAGAATATATCACGCTGCAATTTTTCTTGCGTGAAAGATAATAAAAGTTGAGATAGATGAAAGAATGGTGAAGAAATGCAAGTTGTTTAATTTTGTAGTGGAGAACCCGTAAGAGAAGATACGGAAATGAAGGGATGATATTAAATTATGAGGTGCTAAAAGTTAGGGAATTGGTTCATATTAGGATATTACGTAGAAGGAAATATTCTTCAAATTACTCATTTAGCCTTAAACGAAATAATCAAATAAATTCAATAATTTTGCTCATCGAAGAACCGTTGCTTGTGGATGTTGGACACGCGCACACAAGAGTAAATACTCTGCATGAACCAGGTAAGTCACCACCACCTATACATGATAGTTCTAAATAAAGTATGGAAGTCTAGCTAATGATGAATTGATATAATTGCTTGAATACTTGAAATTGTATGGCATGAGATTATGTGAACTTCAAGTTGTATGTATCTATAAACGGATGGTCTTAATTGTGGAGCCATTTATTTATGAGACGTGAAGTATTTAGAATATATGTTTGAGGTTGTGTTCATGTGGAATGAAAATGAAAAGGAAGTTATGATGATAATGAAAACTATTGAATGATAAGTAATGATCTAAGGTAGCCGTGCCCCCAAGTAATTAAACTATCTGAGTTGAGCGTAGTGGGACAACCTTCCACGGGGAGTCCCAGGGTTACTTCTGATGGGCTGCGGGCTAGCTACCCGAGCTCATCATAGAGGGGCCAGGACACGAGCTACGGGCCCATAAACTCAAGGAACAAGATGAGATGATCTAATGATGAGTGTTGGGGGTAAATCCCGTAGATCCGAAAGCCCAACACGAACTTTGGATATACCAGGAATGACCTAGAATCAAAGCGTATAAACAAAATATAAAAGCTGAACTCACTAATACTCGAAAGCCCACTTATATTTATTAACCAGTCTGATTACAAGGAATTTCCCGAACGGTAGGTCGGAAACACTGCTTTAATACAAGAAATAAGAGCAATAATGCTATTCTAGAGCCTGAGTATTGAAATGCTAACCCTTACAATGACTTGAAACCTTCTATTTATACTAATGGAGAGCATGAGCTGCCCTATGCTGATTGGCCGCTGTTCCACCGACTTGGTCATCCATGCTTCCACTTGCTGATGTCACAGTCTGGCATTAATTGCACCTGGCCACTTGCTGTTTGGCCGTTGCCCGAACGGGATGTTGGGCCATGCTGAATATGCTGGCAAATTGGTCCAAGTATAATATATAGCCCGATCTCCGTTCGGTATGTTTTCTTACTGGGTCAACCCTTATTTGGGCCGAATCTCGTTCGGCATTAATTCTACCTTGATTTATATCATCATAGAGTGATGGGCCCGTTGCTTGGGCCGGGTATCTTGGGCCTTCCTGATCCGGGTATTGGGCCTCTGGATCAATATCCCAACAATGAGTAAGGAAACCTCTTGAGGTTTGATATGTGAGCACTTATGTGTGTTATGCACATTTCATGTGCGATTATGATATGTGTATGGTGTATTGAGCATGGATATCTATTTATGATTAGCTGAGATTCCTTAAATGATTTTGTGGATGAAATGTGACTTACTAAGCATTATTGCTTACGAGAATTCCACTCTTATGTTCTCATGTATAGGTAATAAACGAGGTACAGAAGCCTGAGAGAATGTATGGAGCTGGTGACAAGGTTTTGGATGTGTTAATGTAGAAGATCGGGCAAACTATTATGTTTTGTTGTTAGTACTACGGAACTCCTATGGATTATTTAAATATTTGTTTTGAAATCCTGATCAGGTGTAAATGTTTTGTTTAAAGACAGACTCCTTTGGTTATTTGATGTTTTCATTATGAGATTTGGATATGAACATAAGTTATAAAGTTTCATGAAGAGACTTTGTATCTTTATTTCCGCTTGGTTTATCGAGTCTCTTTTATGTTTGAGTATCGTAATGGCCGTGTTGAAGACGGTCGTTACACATATGGATGTTCAAATTTTGGTTTAGTGTCAACAAAAAGAGTTAAGAACCCATCAAAAACTGTATACACTTGAGCAGTGCCTATATGGTACATCCGGGTGTACGTACATCCGGCCCAACTAAGGAAGACAGCCCAAATAACTGCTACAAGCCAAAAAAATCGGTGGCATCTTTATAATTTAAGAGAAAAATCACGGTTTCTGCTAAATGAGCAATATTGTACTTTTAGTGAGTATTTGACCTATTTTATTGAGTATTAGGAGGCTAACAATGAGTATCACGATCTGTACTTCATATCTTCTAATTCTTTTTCTTTTTCTTATTTTTTCTTTTATAAACACTTATTAAATTATATCTATAATTCACTCCTATTTATTTCAATATGCGAGTCTAATGTAATATGATACTTTTGAAATGCATTGATATGACATTTTAAAAATGAGCATAACATCAGTACCAAATGAGCATACATAACTTACAAAGTGCACATTGATATGAAAAGAGTAAGGTTTGTTAGTTGAACATCACAACATTTTAATTGAGCATCAAACATCTGCTATTGAGATGAAAATCACGATTTCTGGTGAATGAGCACTAATGAACTTTTAATGAGAATCAGACATATTATGTTGAGTATATTAGGAGTCTAATATTCAGAATCGTGATCTCTACTTCATAACTTTTAATTCACTTTCTTTTTGTTCTTTTTTCTTTAATAAAAACTTATTAAATTATACTTATAATTAACTCCAATGAATTTCAATGCGTGAATCTAATGTAAAATAGTATTTTAAAAAATGCATTGATATGACACTTAAAAAATTAGCATAAGATCAGTACCGGATGAGCATATGTAACTTACAAAATGTTCATTGATGTGAAAATCGTAAGGTTTCTTAGTTTGACATAATGACATTTTCATTGAACATCAAACCTTCTCTGTTAAGATGAGAATCACAATTTCTATTAAATGAGCATTAATGATCTTTTAATGTGCATCAGACCTATTATGAGCATTAAAACACTTTCAATGAGCATCACATTTATTTAGTTGAGTACTAGGAACCTAACAATGTAAATCTAATGTCATATGCAACTTTTAAAATTGCATGAATATGACATTTTAAAATTGAGCATAATATGAGTACAAATTGAAAAATCATAACTTACAAAATGAGTATTGATATGAAAATCATAAGTTTTTTAGTTGAACTTCAAGACATTTTTATTGAGTATCAACCCTTCTCTATTGAGTATTGAAAACATCTAATTGAGTAAAGAACAAAAGCTCAATCTTTTTTATGGATATAAAGAACAAATCTTGTCCCCAAACTCACTGTGGCCTCAAAAATTGAAGGAGTTGGTGTCCGATTATCAAAAGTCAAAAGGATAATTCTCTGCTATTAAAAACTAGAGTTAATTATCAAAATAGGACTAAAAGTCATTCACTTTTCACAAATAAGACCAAAAAATGAACTATATTTGCATAGGACTAATTATGTGTACCTTGGACAATTATACCCTTATAGCTATTAAAATGTTTTAATTCCTAATAAAATAATAAAAAATAATAAAAATTCGTAAAAAATACTAAAAAATTAAGAAAAACATTTCGATATTAAAAATTTAATAATTTTTTTTTTCAAAAAATTAAAAAAATTAAAAAAAATTAAAAAAAAAGTAAAAACTCAAAAAAAAAAATCGCCGCCGCCTCTGTCGCCTCAGCACCACCACCTCCAGTCACCAGGGGAAAAAAAAGCCAAGTTCATTACGAATGCCATATTTATGGCAGAAAAAAATGAAAATGTTGGCATTCGAAAAGAGAAATGTGCCACTTTTTTGGCATTTTCAGAAAAAATGGCATTTTTCTGGGAAAATGGCATTTTTTTCATCGGCCGGAGGTGGTGGTGCTGGGAGGTAGTACAGGCGGTGGGAAAGGCATCCATATTTTTTTAAATTTTTTTTACGGAGTTTTACTATTTTTTATTAATTTTTTTAAAAATAAAATTATTTTAAAAAAAAAGTTTTTGAATTTTTTATTTTATAAAAATTTTATAAATTTTTTAATTATATTTCTACGAATTTTTGATTTTTTTTCGAATTTATTATGAATTAAACATTTAATTATGGCTTTTGACTATTTTTAATTCATATTTAATGGAAGGGTAAGAATGGAATGCAAAAATAGGTATGTTTCCGATAGGACTCATATGGTCCTATTTTGAAATAAAAACATAACAAGTCCTATTTTAGTTTTTTGCCATAATTTTGGTCCTATTTGAACTAATTTCTATAAAAACTAAAAATGTAAGGCCAGAAGACACTTAATCAAGTGTTTGTTGTTTTTGTATTTCCTTCGATCTCTGGATGTATATGAAGCGGCTTGGTGATTCAGTGGCTCCTTTAACGGAGGTGCTTGTATGAGCAATGACATTCATAAGATTAGAAAAACAATACATTGACATTCATTTTCTCATAACTTCACAAACTTGAACTTAATTGGTCATACATGTATCCCTTAAATATGACTTAGACTAAATTTTCAAATCAAATACAACAAACCAGTGGCGGACCGTAGTAGAGACCCAGGGGGGCTACCGCCCCCCCAACAAATTTTTTTTAGTGTATATATATACGAAAAATGATTTTTGCTCTTCCAAAAAGTATTTTGAACCCCCCCCAAAATATTTTCGCCCCCCCAAAATGACTTTCCTGGGTCCGCCCCTGCAACAAACTAATCAAAGAACTCAAGAAGAGTTTGTTTTTACAATATCAAACGCTCAATTATAAAATTACTCTGAATTTCAACGCTAAGAATTTTAAATGGGTGCAGGCTAGGTTGAATATACAAATATAATTATACTCCGTAGTAGATAACCTACACTACAAAAAAACACGTCGTTTGTCACGGATTTTGTCACGGACGGTAGTTCAAAAAATCCGTGACAAATGATTTTTTGTCACGGATTTGTCACGGATCCCATCCGTGACACCAGGGGCGTGATAACGTTTTTGTCACGGAAATTAATCCGTGAGATTGTTTGTCACGGATTTGTCACGGCCAAATCTGAACAAACAAATGCAATAAGTTTTATTATTAATAATCATTTCGGGAATATACTTTGAAAAATGTTTACTAAACTACTGTATCTAGAAATTAAGGGTAGTCATCAAACTTTTCCATGGCTAAAGTTAAAGTACGTATATCGCTTACAAAATTAAAATTAAAAAATAAAGTAATGTTCGGCGAATTTAGACGACCTAGGCGGCCGATTAGGCGCTCTAGGTGGACAACTAGGCGTCATAGACGGTCGACTAAATCACCTAGACGGCAAACCAATTAGTCGGAGCGCCTAGATGAAAATCGGGGCGCCCGGCCACCGCCTAGCACCTAGGCGGGAACTAGTCGGGCACCTAGAACGATTTTTAGAACAGAGATTGTAGTTACTATTAGTCATATTTGTGTAAATAAGTTTTATTTTAGTAATATTTTTGAAGAAAAAACCCTAAAAACTCAAAATGCCTTTTCATGCCTAAACCTCGCCTAAGCCCGTAGGCTTCAAAGGCTTAAGGCTTGATCTGGCCACCTTGACACGCCTTACACCTTTTAGAACATTGCCTACAGGGCTATTATGCAGAATACTTACTTCATACCTATATTATAAAGGATACATGTTTAACTTTAAGGGTAGTCATCAAACTTTCCTATAAATAATAATACGGAGTACATTACTTTAAATTACTCCGATTTCATGAAAACTTACTTCATACCTATATTATACAGAATACATGTTTTTCAACTATTATTGTTAGTAGTTGCTAATCCAGATCAAAATACAGCAAAAATGCCCACATCCCAAAGCCCAAACCTAATTCCTTTTTTAAACTCTTCGCAGAATCGGCAGTAGCATCCTTAGCCCAAAAACACCGCCTCTCATCTCTCACACCTCACCTTTGTAACTCTGTGGTGTAATCGTCTCACAAATAGTCAAACAACTTCACCGACCACAACCATCGTCATCGTCGCCACTTTTAGCTATTGTGTTCATTGTCACCAACAACCGGCCATCACATCTGGCGCCTCCTGAGATCAAGTTACTTATGATGTGCACAATAGTCTGTTCAATGTGTAGAAAAGTATAATTCTCCCAACCATATAAAACTTACAGAGTAGGAGATTAGACATACACTACCTTTAAATTATGATTGATTAGTTGATCTTTATTGCCTAACATGATCACAAAATGCCGAATGCTTAATCTTCTGAACAGAATTTGTATTTGAGATGCGTTTCTTTATTTGTACCATATGCCAAAGGTAGTTGTAGTAAAGCTGAAATGTAAGAAACTCAAAGCAAAAGAAAATGAATAAGCGTTTAGGAAAATATCAAGTTTAGTGCATTAACGATGAAACAAAATCTAAAAGATTTGGAGGCAGAAATAATATTGGTACAATTGTACATACTTTACTAATTAATGGAACTTACTTGTACGTAACATAGAAGAAAATATTCGAGTTTATCATCAGATATGTTGTTCATGAAATGCGACTTCTCCTAACAATGTTCCATTTTGATCCTACTGATCTATATATAGCAGTGGTGAAGGTATATGAGTGCTGCCTGCTAACGATACCATTGGAAGCCCAACTGCCACATAGGATAACCCAATCACATTAAATAAATTATTCTTAAAATTGTAACTTAACAGCATTCAATAATTATATATAATTAATACTCAATGTATTGGAACTGCAACAACAGATCTTAATTTGCACTAATAATGAGCTTGGAGCAGCGTAATACGGGAATGCTAGACAACTTGTAGAAAGAATAATTAATGCATTTTTTGAGACTAATCTAACGATTTGCTATAGGTACCCCAAATTTACCACATTTCCTACCCCATATAAAATCCCTCTC